AATATACAATATGGCCACAGAATACAAATATTGTATTGTGCAATATTAGACTATTTGTAAGAAATAACATTATTTTCCAGTAATATTGTCACAATACAATATAAATACAATATAATTTGTAACGCGCAATATAATAATTCTCGATTGTGACATTGTTAGCACGTGATTTTCTTATCTTTTCTTTTTTGCGGGGAATATCTTTTATCAAAGATATCACTAAGATATATATTTTTCTTTGTTTTATTATTAATTGAAAATAAATTTATCGTAAAATGGACGTACTTGCGCGCGTGTATGTACTATGCAAAATAGTAACTTATAAAAATCTCTCATAAGTCAGTCTTTTTAAAAACTGGATTAATAATTCCACAAATTGATAGTGATTTAGATAATACTATTTAACATTCAATTATTTAACTATGAATACTTTTAATTTGTTTCCTGCAAAAACAATTTTTTACAGTATTACATATTTTAAGTTATCTCTCGGATGTGTTACGCAATCAGATCGATCGATATGAAAGATGATTGTTATTTTTCTTTTATTTTATTAGTTGATTAGTTACAATGTCTAGACAGCTAGTCTTCAGAATTATTTCAGTAAAATAGGTTTGGTATCTCACATGATCGTGCGCAATCTCATAAATATTCTATCGCTCTTATTGTACAATATAATACAATCAAGTATCTAATAGGGATTTTACTAGTTTAAAATGTAAAAACACAAATTAATCACATTTTGCACAGTTAGGTTGTGTATATTATTTGAATAACATATTGTAACCCTATCGCAGTTATTTGTCCTCTATCAACAAAATCTTTTATAGGTGTGACGAGGAAGCAATTGCTCGTTTTTTTTGTTCTTGTTTGTCTTCTATTTTGGCTCGCTTGCGCATGTCACAAATATCAGATACCTATCCTTGAGACACAGAGTATCGCAAAATCTAATTATTTTTTTCCACAAAAAGAATATCAAAATGAATACATTGTATAAGGAAGTTTTATGATATCTCGGATAGATGCTTGACGCGCACGATTACATAAAACGTTACAAAGTGCAAAGTACAAAATAATATTGCAAAAAGAGATTGTATAAGAATGAAATAATGAGAACTGTGCTTACACAATATACTTTTTAAGTATATTATAGAATTATAAAATTTTAATTAATCTATATCGAGTTTTTTAAAACTACCTTCTACGCCGAATAAATCATTCGCTGATTTACTCTTGCCAATTCTCAAGGCTTCATTAACACGTCCGGTTCTTTCATCCAGCAGGAACCATTCGCGATAGTCTTCGAGTAGTTTCACTTGAATTTCAGCTAGTTCATGTGTAAATCCTGCTTTTCCTCCTACCTCGTTCGGCAATGCATCCACAGGAATATATTCGGAGAGGCTCTCCAAGGATGAATGAAAATGCATCTAGAAAAATTAAATGAGATGATTCCAAAAGCTTGTGTGACAATGAGTGCTAACAATAAGTAGGATCGTAGCATTGAAATAAGTGTAATTTTTCGGTTGAAATGTTGATGTTACGGATAACTTAAACACAAAACTTTCTACGTTTATCGTTAAAAAAAATTATGTTTTCCATAATGATGTTTGTTTAAGTCTGTAAAAGTACAATGAAAAATAAGTACTTGTGACGTTACAGAATTATTTGATTGCTATATTACTCCGCGCTATATTAAACGCAAGCATTGCTCTTAAATAATTAGATTGATTTGTGATATTTACCATGTTTATCATCTCCTTCTTCATGAAAGGTTTCATCATATTTATTAACAATTCCGTACCGGGTAACATGTTTATAATATGCATTCCCTTTAAACGTATCGGCGCTGCTTCTTGGACGAAGTACAAAGATTTTTTCATTCCCAATGGATTCATTCGCGTCATATGACCAAATGATAGTTTACCCATATCTACGATATAACTAAAACCGCTGTCCGTTATACCATTCATCAGGAGATATAGGTCCATTATCATCGTGGAATATTTCGTGCTGTTATTGAAATCATAGTTAGAGGGATCGCTGTCCATCAATGTTCCATAGATCATCCTGTAACCGTCTTTCGTTGTTCCATTTAGGGGAAGTATAGCCCTTTTTAAGTCAAATCAATTTATCTCAATTTACTGATATAACAATATATATTAAAATATTAGTAAAATTATTTTGCATTATTCTTACATATCTACAATTAATATTAATATATCTGTACAGATTATTTAGGATTTGTTTTATTTTATGCACAGATCTCAAAATGGGTATTATACTTAACATTTCAAAAATTAGCCACTTTATATACAAACCAATTATATTATCTTATTTATTCACTCATTCATATTTATAATATTGTAAACTTGCTCACTGAATTTTGAAGGCTTGTCGTAGCTCTTTATTCGCAAGAGGATCCCGATTGCAAAAAAATTCTGGTAAATGCGTCCTCATCGTATAATAATTTTCGATTGTGCTTTTTGTTGGTTCCATTTGATAATAATTGCTGTGAAGAAACAAGGCGAGAAAGCTATCTTCAATTTTTGGCAAATGCGGTTGTTTCTCGCACCATTCCTTCAGTAATTGTATATCGGATAGCTTCAGTTGAGGATTCTTTCCCATTTCTTCTTCCAATGTGACCGTTTTCATTATCGACATTGTTGCCTTGAATTGCAATATAAAATGTATTCTATCTAAATGTAAAAATAATAAATGAAAGTGAAAAAAATCACTTACAATTGTGCACACTCAGTTTTCAATTTATTGGACGATCCAACAATTAAGAAAAAAATGCTGTGCAACTAATTAGCGGCAGCTTGACCGCAGCCTAAGTATAAAAACGAGAAATTGCATAATTTCGAGATATGACTCTGCCAACAGATCAGTCGATATGCCTATGATGCATATCTCGAGGACGTCTTTTACATTTGTTTTCAAGATGTCTTTAAGACAAGTCTAAAAGACGTCGAAAATCGGGAAATAAGACGTCTTTAAGATATTTTTAAGTCGACATAATGTTCTCTGGTTTGTTAGCAACAAAAAAAAAGATATGTTTTAAAGTGACAATTTTGATAAAAGAATGATTTCCTCAAGTCAGAAACTAATCGTGCAAAGCGAGATTAATAAATAGTATAGATAAATTCAAACTTGAAATATTCCAGTTTTTATTCCCTAATGAATAAAAGTAGAAACTTGTTAGTAATTATAATGAATCATACATTATTCTATACTTAAACAGTAAAATGAAAACGTCAATATAACGGTTATAGTTACGTATCATAAATACTTATGGTTTATGTATAATTACCATGTCTGAATATACGATTTATAAGTATTAACAAATTCAGTATCTAGAGAGATTACCTTATTAAGTAACTTGCTTTGTTTTACAACACTTTTCTCTTGAGTTGTCAATATAATACTTTTAAAGGTGGTACAGATGGACCGAACAGCTCAGAGATTACGTGCTCACTGCTGGAACCGGTTTTCTGTTATGGCCGTCGAGTTTAATTCGTATTATGAATCAACTGTATTAGAGTAGCGGAAAATTATGCGTTGTGGTAGATACGTGTAACTTCTATGAGCATTATCAATTACCAAACACATGTGTGCGATGTATTACGCATCAAGGTTTTGCAACGCCTCCTTGTAGCACAAACAATTCATGAAACGATTAATTAAGGAATAATGAACACGTATGCGTACGTATACAAGCCATTATAATTTTCCAAGTAACTTTGTTACATAACAATAGTCGGATTATTGCGTACAAATTGTGTATTATACAATAATATGATTCTTAAAATAATTTGATAATCGAAGTATGTTATAAATCCTCTTTTATGTTTACATTCATAAATGTTGATATAATATAACCTATAAGTTACTACGTAACAAAATGTACTTGAGGAAATAGAAGAGAACACAAAAAGAGGGAGAGAGTGATGGAGGGAGGACGTGGGGGAGGGGAGAAATGGAGAGAGGGAAAAGGAAGGGCGGGAGGGAGAGGGGGACAGAGATCGAGCGAGAGCGAGAGAGAGAGAGAGAGAGAGAGCACAGAAGATTATTAAAATTTTTTCTAAGAAACACTCAAGAAAATAATTTTACAACTGCAGCAAAGTTTTTAGATACGAAAAAATAACTGACAATGAGATATATAAATGGATAGCCAATACTGCAAATTCTCATATATTTTGTTCACTTAATCAATTTAAATAATAGAGAGAGAATTTCTATCTAAACTACCAGTGAAAGTAAGAAAGAAAGTCTTTCTGTGGCGCCCATCCATTGTACAGGTTGACTGTGGTACAGACAACAGCTAGATCTTTTACAAAAATTGTTCTAGCTATGGTACCAAAATTCATTTTTATCCAATGTAGCGAATAATATTTAGTCATAAAATGTAAACTTCCCAGAAAATATTATTAGAATTTGCTGCTGTTAATTCTGCAGGCTACAAACAATTTTCTAGCAGATAAAAGATAAGGAGAAATTTTTATTGCAGCGATCTAGCAATCTACCTGTGTCATAAGTACGATAGTTTTTTGAGTGATGAATTTAAATTTGACTGATTAATCAAGCTCCAACTTTTTAAAGCTACCATCTACGCCGAATAGGCTTTCTGCACTTTTGCATTTGCCAACTCGCAAAGATTCGTTCACTCGTCTATGAATTTCGTCATATTGGAACCAATCGCGAAATTCTTCCAACAATTTAATATGCTTGGCTGTTATTTCTTCGAGAGGTCCCGCTTTCCCATTATATTCATTTGGTAAACCTTCTATAGGCAGGTATTTCTTCGCGGTTGCCATACTCGAATGAAAATGCAGCTAAAATAATAAAATACTAAAATAATAAACGTGTACTTATATCTTATATTTTCCTAATGAGAAATGAAGGTAAGAAAGACGGATATTAGACGATTATTAAACGGCATAGGTATTAACGGTATCTAATAGTCATCTAATAGTCATCTAATAGGCGTCTTTCCGACTTTCGTTTCTCACTGGGTTTCCTTTCTTAATAAGAAGACGTTGACTTACAATATCCACCAATTCCTTCTTTATGAAGGGTCTTAGTAAATTCATTAGTGTATCTACTATGGGGACAGTGTTCAGTACGTGTATAGCCTTCAATCGAACTGGAGCTGCTTCTTGTATGTAGAATAGAATTCTTTTTACTCCCATTAAATTAATAGCAGCGATATGGCCAAAAGTCAAACCGGTTGCATCAAGAATAATAATTTGTCCCTCACTGGTGCCATGTGTGATATTCTGCACTTCACACGTCATAAGCACATACTTGATAGCTTCGAAAAAGTTATATTTATTCGGATTCGGATCCCGAATTTTGCCAAATGTCATGATGTAGCCTTCCTTGGTTTTTTGCTCCAATGGCGTGCATGCTCTATTATAGAAAAAATATTTTTCCTTATATGCTGACATGATTTTTAATGATACACTTATTGATCTTAATAATTTGACAGGATAGCTCACAAGACAGAGAAGGCCTTTCGCAGTTCTTTCCACGCGATTGGATCTCTATTAGAGAACACTTCTGGAAAAAGCGTCCTTATGGTATAAAAATTATCTATTGTCTTCTTGGTTGGTTCTATACGATAATAGTTGCTATGCAGAAACATAACAAGATATAACATCTCTACTCGTGGCAAGTGAGGCTGCTTTTCCATCCAATCCTTTAACATTTGCAGATCTGACATCCTGAGCTGCGGATTTCGCTTACACTCTTCTTCTATACTAACATATCGAATCGGTAGTGACATCGTTGCTCTGATCGACCTACAAATTTGTTCTCGTTTATAACTTTTCAAAAACACTTGTGCGAAGGAGAAAAAGAGCTGTATATAACATCACGCAGAAAGTAACGAAAAATCAAACATGTGTATTGAAAGCGAAAATCTACTTAATCAATTTTAAATCAATTATCGACAATTAATTGTTTCAAACTGTATCAAAAGATACGATATCGTTCATATCTTTACCTACTGGACAAATTACCCGTGAGATAGAACAACAAGTTGCTACGTTATATAATTTGTTATATAATCAGTAAATGTAGACCGTATTATTATTTTTATCATAAATATATAAAATGGATTATTAAAAAGTATAATGCGTGTGTGTACTGTCCAAAATTATAGATGCTTTGAAAAAGAGTAAATTATTATTAGTACGTGACATTTGGCAAGTCGGGCATATAAAAATCTTGGCATTTTATATGCCCGATAAAAAATGTTTCATAAGTAATCATGTATAAATGTAAAGAATTACATAAAATTATACAAAATATGTCCATACATATTCTTACAGTAGGTACGTATTTCTATATAAGTCTTAATAATTTTATATAATTCTATTAATGTAGAATTTCTAAAGAATTTTATATTATAAGAAAAATTATTTTCATATAGATTTATAGAGTTATATAGAATTACATAGAATTATAAAAACTTATATAGAAATACACATATATGAACATATTTGATATATAACTTTATACATATAATTCTATATATTTACACATACTTATGCATGAAAAATTGTTTATCGGATATATCGCTTTATTCTATATTAATACTTTCTTCTTTCTTTTCCCTATACGCATTATTTCTTTAAATTTAAAAATATAATACAGTTTTCAATTGTACGAATTAAAAGACGAACTTATTTATTAAAATTACTTATTTGCAGATAATTTAAACGATACGTTTTCATCCTTCTTTCACATTCTCCATTTTAAATAGTACACTTTCTATGTTTAGCACATTTAATGTTTGCGGAAGTTGAAATGATATTTTTAGATAGAGGAAAAAAATTAGATCATGTTAACTTACCTTGACCGGTTGTTCCTTAACCGGTTATTCACAGGTGGATCTGTCCTACAAATACTGGTAACACAGCACAGAATATCGCTGCTGCGCACGCGATAAGTCGATTGCACACTGATTTCTAAAGGAGAATGTCCGAGAGTTTCGAGCGTTTCGAGCGTCCAATGGGAACTTTCAAATTGTGCTTCAAGACTAATGTTTTATCCACACATAGTCACGACTGTATAATAAAAGCCATCACTTGTAAAAACCTGTTTATAAGTTAATTATTCGTTAAATAGCAAATAATACTGACGCATTATTTTAGACTTTAAAACGTAATATTGAATTTTTACGCATTGTTTCAGAATGTAATAGGTTTTTTGCAAATTTCATTTTGTATTGAATTATACATATAAATCTTACTGTTTTTAACACGTTTGTACCGTGCTGTTTTTACGCGACCGTCTATTCAAACCACGTGTACTAATTAGGCAGGGTTGGGAAAGTTACTTTATATAAGAGTAACTTGTTACCGTTATTAAAAAATTAACGAGTCGCTACTATTTTCGTTACTTACTTTTTGGTTTATATTAGTACAATTAAATACAAATTTCTGCAGTAAATATAAACAGAAGATATACGTAAAATTATATATCTTCTAGAGTAAAAGGATAAGGTTCAAAATTTTATATATTATTTTATAACTATACATATATTAGGAGCTCTATTCCGTACACGGTTACCGACAACTCTCGATATCGTTAATGACGTTCGTGCAGCTTTTCTATCATGTATGTACAAAAGTAGCGCGAACGGCGTTAACGATGTCGATAATTGTCGGTAACCGTATATGATTGGTTTCTACACTTTTTTGTCAACAAAGAACTACAGGCAAGACAAAGAACCAATCATATTAAAGATCACTGGACTACTTTATTTCCTGAATGCAACTTATATAGTGAAAATTTCACGCGCGATAAAGTAACGATGAAAGTAACTACTAAAATCATTACCGTTACTGACAAAATATAACTATGTTACCATGAACGTTACAAATGAGAAAATGTAACGTCCATTCGTTATCAAAAATTATCAAAAAGAAAGTAACTGTAGCGGTAACGACGTTACAGGTAACGCGTTACTTTCCAACCTTGCAATTAGAATAGGCACATTATATCATAACTATTCTACACTCCAAAATATTAAAAATATTAGAGATGGTTCGATTGAAAAATGTCTAATCAGTGGTAGACATCAGCGGCACGAAACGTTAGTAGAATTATTACATTACATTATGTCGTATACGTTAACTCCTTTTATTCCTTTTTAACGTAACAGGTTGAAATATTATAGATTACAAAGAAATCGTGTCTAGTGATTCTAGGAACTAAATTGACCGTGGAATAAATCTACTATGCTACGTTAAAATGTATTCCATTTAAATCTAATAATGATTAAGACACGTATTATTGAGATTTGTAATTATAATAAGAAATGCAGTGAGAATCAACTTCTCCATTTCTCTAATTACTAATACATCGACAGGTTGCGTCGTGAGATTCTAGTGCCGTGATTAAAAATATCTATCAAAGTTCAAGACTTTGAATAAAAAATTTCGCTTTTGATTAAATTGATGGCCTAATAACGAGATTACATTGCAATTTTATATAATTACATCTCCGCCGTATGTTAATGTTATTTGATATAGTATTTGAATATAATACTCCGATTATGCTTGAAATTGAAGCGTATTATTAATGTTTTAAATGTTAGTTAATGTGCACTAATATTATATCATGTTTTTTTAGAGAGCTTGTAACTTATATATTGTATTGTGATTATCATAATGTAATCACATATTATTTGGAACAAAATCTTTAATTTTCGAGACATATAAATGTTTGAGACAAGTAAATTATTTTGGCAAAATTATTTAATCAATTGCCAATAAATGAACTGTAATGAAATTTTTGATAATTACTATACTTGTCACCGTCACCGTTAATGTTATCGTTATAAGTTATAAGCATTACATTTTTATTTATTTCTTGTGATCGTGTTAAATATATTTTAAGAAAAGTTGTATTCGGTTATTTTCGACTTCAATGAAAGAAATCAATCTATGTCTAATTTTTTGAAACTTCCCTCGACTCCAAACATATCCATCGTTTTGCTTTTGCCTACTCTTAAAGCTTCGTTTACACGACCCGTAACTTCGTCTTGCAGAAACCATTCACGATGATTCTCCAGCTTCTTTAAATACTCCTCCTGTTGTTCTTTCCACGGTCTAGCTTTTCCACCTAAACCTATATCGCATGGGAATGCTTCCAGTGGCAAAAACTTTGCCAGCGTGTCCTTTGGAGTAGTATGAATATGTAACTGAAAATATATCCAAAATTTATTCTATTAATACATATAAGACATATATATTTCCTATCTATTACTAGAATTAAAAAATTTAGGAATAAAATAATTTTGAATTTTGAACATATATATATAACTTTTCAGAGAAAAGATCATTATTCATCACTTACTGAGCTCTCATATCTTAATATGAAATTTACGATAAACAAGTTTAATATAAAATTTGGTCCGGAATTAAGTAAAACACAAAGTGTTTTTCTTTTTATTCTTCTTACCACATCCATTAATTCTTTCTTCATAAACGGCTTCATCATTGACAAGATGATATCCATGACTGCGTTGGTGTTAATAAAGTGCAGACCTTTAAGTCTGATTGGCATAGCTTCTTGTAAATAATGAAGATACTTTTTGATTCCCATGGGACTGAGACGGCCAGCATGAGCGAAGGTAACACCTATCATGTCTATAACAATTACATGACCCTCGGCGGTTCCTTCGGTGTATAACCATAAGTCCATCATCATAGAAAAGTACTTCATTATGTCGTTATAAACAAAATGCGACGGTTCAAAATCTGTTAGTTTCCCATAAATAATTTTGTATCCTTCCTTCGTTGGCATTGATAGTGTCATCTCCGCCCTTTTTAAAGAAATTTCATTGTTTTATGCATAATTGGATTCAATTTTATTTTAATATTTATTAAAGTCGAAAGCTTTTTTTACATCTTTTACCTTTGATATTATTTATTATTTGTTTATTATATATTATACACTATTTCGAAATATTTATACATTGAGTCAAATTGTATGTACTATTAAAAGAATGTTTCAACTTATATTCTCACAATGTCATGTCGAACTTGCACTGTCTGCAAAATTTTTCAGCACTCAAAATTTTTGTTTTAATGCGTCTCCCGAGTCAGACGTTATTTCTATAACGTTGTAACTGCAATCTTCTTACACATGTTTAGCTACTAATTCTATGTATTGATATTAGCCCTTTGTTCACGAGATATCACGGGTGGCGATATTACGTTCTGGGTGATATTAGGAAGGAGCCTTTACCCTAGCTAAAAAAAATACGTAAAAAATATTTTAATACTTACACAACGTTGAATGTTTCTCGCAATTGCTTCGTTCCAAGTGGATCTCTGTCGGAGAAAAATTCTGGCATGTGAGTTCTGGAAGTGTAATATTCTTCGATGGTGTTCTTAGCAGCTTCGATAAGATAATAATTGCTATGTAAGAATAATACATATTCAACGTCTAAAATTTTTGGAAGATGCGGCTGTTTCGTGGACCAGTCCTTTAGGATTTGTATATCGGAATCTTTCAATTTGGGATTTTTCTTCTTTTCCTCTTCGTAGGAAATTCTCTTTGTCAGCGACATAGCACTTTAATAATTTTCTATTAATACAAAAATGGTTTTTAACACTTATTATAAGTAAATCATAATCCAAATTATTTGACAGTTATTTTTTTACATAAAAATATTATGTCTTAAAGACATTTAATGGAAGAATTGAAATTATTAATGCTACCTATATTGCGGTTTAATAATGAATGAATGTCTTTATCTATTAATTTCAGCTATGATATAACAATTGGATCAGACAATATTATTATATAAATAGTATTAGAATAATTGTGTAAAAATAATAGAGAAAAAGGTATTATTTACTCACAATCAGACGCACTCGGACGAGAAAGAACCTGCTTATTAAAACTCTACTAGACGAATGACTCGATTTCTACTCGCCGACTTCTCAAGGTGGTACTACTATTCGTGACGCGAAATTAAGATTTGCATTTTATAATATCATGGTAGTATCTACATATAGGCGTGACAAAGGCAACTTAATATATGCTTACATTCACCATAACTGTAATCATGAATTAAATTCTTGACAGCTTGATACAAATTATAGTCCGATGACTTGTTATTATTATGCACTGAGAGACATTTTTCTTCAATTTTTTTATTTTACGTCGTTATATAATTTCCTTATGTTTTATATATAAAACCAGGTTTCACATATAAAAACAGGTTGTAAACATGCACGTAAGATCTCAAATAATTACTGTTTCTAGTAATTACTTTGTAGGAATCATTATTTTATAATTATATAAAGTGATCAGCATGCAAATTTATTTCAAAATTATGTTATAAGCTTCTATTTAATGGAATAATTAACGTTATAATAAGTGAGGAAAACTTGATGCATAAAGAATGATGCAACCAAAGAAGTTACATAAACGTTATACATATGTATAAGTGGATCTTAAATTTCTGGCGCATATTTGTCTCTCCAAGTCTCCACTTGTTCAGTTGGCGCTGCGATCGGCGTGTTGACGCCATGCCGACGCCGACACCGGATACAAGATACAATTCATTTGTGTGCATTTGTGAGAGTCGTGTGTTGTGGAAAGCTTGCGGAAAAATATCATTTTCGTATGTTTGTTGTAAGAACGACAAGTATTCAATATTCGACAGTTGATGTACTATGAACCGACTGGATGATTCGTCGGGGCTCATGAAAGGCAGAAAACCCTCTTTCATTGGAATGAACGGTACATTGTACTCTAACCTATCTTTTCTACAGCAATCGTACAGCTATAGTTTTTAATACGTTGTGACTGAAAAATTACTCGACGTTCAATATTGTCGCTTTAATCTGCCTTCAACTATATAATTAATTTGAATTCAATTGCGCCTCTTGTCACCTTATGAAATTTCTATTTTAGGGGCTCCGGAGACAGATGATCAACAGCGATTACGGTTTCAGGTTGAATTAGAATTTGTGCAATGCCTCGCCAATCCAAATTATTTGAATTGTAAGCAACAAAGATTCTCCCATATTTCTCTTACTTATTTAACTAATTTTCTAACATTTTATTGATGATGAATGTAATTCTAGTTTTGGCACAGCGTGGCTACTTCAAAGACACGACGTTTATTAATTATCTCAAGTACCTGTTATACTGGAAAGAACCGGAATATGCTAAGTATTTGAAGTACCCTATGTGCTTATATTTCCTGGATTTATTGCAGTATGAGCACTTTAGACGAGAAGTTGTCAATTCTCAATGTACAAAGTTTATCGATGATCAGCAGATTCTACTGTGGCAACATTATACCAGACGTCGAACAAGACTTCTGCAAACAGCTGCCGAGCAAACGCAACACACCAATTCTCAGAACAATGGCATCGCTCAACCCAAGGTTCCCTAAAGTTTTATTATTTATCTTGTATGTCTGAAGACAGAGCCCACGTCATCTTATTTCCAATATGACAGTTTTTTTAGAGGAACCGATTCATTTGCTTACCTGTGATAGCTCACAAATTCTCCACATTTTCACATTAAATCGTATTTCTTTCTCGTATATATACGAATAAACTATTTATTAAGAATGTCAGTCGATACAGCTTATTGTTCCCTGCTCAGTCTTATTACACTTATATATTTAATATCCCTGTAACGTATACTATAAGTCCTCGAGAAGTATTCCGCTCTTTAGACGATCAACTGTATAAATATTGAATCAGTTAGAAAAGTGATTTCTCCAATAACGAGCTGGCATAATGGCATTTGTTTTTCTATGTGCAACAATATTTTGCAATGTAGCAACATATTGGTATACATATACATATGTTATACTTTTATTAAACTATTTTTCAATTCTTTCTCACACACACACACACACACATTAGTTGTAGCCTTGTATTTAATTTTTGTCGAAATATTTTTATTTTACTATGCCTAATGGATATCGACATAAAATTAAAATAAGATTGTTCTTTTGTGTGAACGAGTCGGTGGATATCTTCAACTTACAATTTCGTGTGGATATGTCGTGATAGGAGCTAACATTTTACGTTGCTTTTCACGTATATTACGAATGAATATTTGACGCAATTGAGCATTTTGTGGATAATCTTCATAATAAGATATACGTAAAATTTCCAAAGTTATCTATCACATATTTTTAATACATGTTTCTGCCAAATTATTTTGTTTGACTTATGCTATATTTCTACGTTGAAAATTCAAATTAAAATGAATATCTATTTTCATGTATATGTTATTCGACTCGTGTTTCCACTTGTATGTGTGCAACGTATATTTTATATAAATATGTGTATGTGATATTCGTTTAGTGAAAATAAACTATAAGCTTTGAATATTTTACGCCGATGATTATGTGACACTTGGTACGAATAAAGCGGATCGAAGATGCCCATTAAAAAGTAGGATAATTTTTTAATACAAAGTCGCTTTATTTTCTAAATTATTCGGTATTTTTATTCTCCGTGAAATTCACCAAAATTCCATTACCGGCATCCACCCAGTCTTCTGAAAAGAGCTTCTCCCTTAGAATTTGTCTGTCTGTCGTATCCTCTTCCTTCACGCCATCTTCTTTATCGATATCATCACTCTTGCAATTATTGTCGTCGATTACATTTTTCATATCTACCACTTGATCTGGCAGAATTTTATTCAACGTATCTGGTAAAATCAAAGCCAACATGCCGGAGACGAAGCACAATACTCCAACGACCAGTAATGGTATCGGAAGCGATATATGTTGTCTCTAATAAAAACATTTGCATTTCCAATGATTTGGCGAATTTTAATTCGTCGGAAATAATACAAATTGCAAGACTGTGTAGGTATATAGACAGAAAATGTTTTCAACGAGAAAAATGGATAACGTACCAATAAAAGTAAATGCGGTATGCTTAGGCTGCCGATTTTTGCAAACACCACGCATAAGCCTAAACAGCTAGCTCGTATCACAGTTGGAAATATTTCAATGGTATACAAGTAGGCGATAGAAAGGGTACTCGTGATAGTCACTCTGCCAAACAGCAACGTTACCGTTTTTGCGAGATCTGAAATCAAAATCTTTTGTACATATGCCAAAAATCTTGGCAACACTCTACCTATTGGAAATTTTGCAAAATCTTGTGATTCTGTAAATGTGTTTTTTATCTTATGTACCGGTCCACGGTGCAGACGTGGTGGTTAAAATGAAGAAGGCCGCAATTAAAATACAAACGATGCCATTGAGAGACTGGTATGCGCACATTGGCAGCCGTCTACCGTATCTAGATAATACAAAGTACACAAATGTGTACGTTGCCATTTCGAGAGCTGCGCTCAGGGCGAACGTGATGTGCCTATTAACCGGAAAACTTGGCGCCAAATCATCAAGTATGCTGCACGCTATTGTAGACGTCCACCTTAAATGACAACGTACAATTGAAATTTTTAAGGCATTTCAATCTTCATTATTCTATTACAGTCTAAGGATAAAAATTAATCATGTCCAGGAAGGGTAAAGGGAATTAATTACTTTTTCAAGTATTTTACCATTGACAAATCATTATAGCACCATATTTCCTTAATATCGACGATTCGATCGCATTCTTGAATGGTGCAGAGCTTATCTTCTTTGCGCTCTGTTTCCTGACACTATTTCCCGTTTTCTCTTCATTTTCATTCGTTTTTTCTTTCTTTTTTCTACGCAACACTACCTCTTCTGCGTCTTCCAGGGAAATCCTTTCATCGCATCCTGATTGTATAACAATCATCTTTGCGTTTCGTTCGCACTTGGAACTCGAAGGCAAGTGTCTCTTGTCAAAATCTTCCGCTGAACTTGGCGTCTCTTGGCGTAATTCCATGTTGGAAAATTTATCCAAGTTGGTCGAATTGACCTCAAAAGTTCTCTCTACAATAAATTTCTTAATATTAATGTATATAAAAAGTGTACAACTGTATATATACAAATCTATATTTGTTTGTTATCTTTTTTATACGAATCTGTACGCATTTTACTATGTATTTCATTATTTATACCTGTGATTTTTCGTTCCGTTAATTCCGACTTGTTTAACAAATTCGTAGCTTCTTCTCGCTGATTTTCATCAGTCCTCGCTTTCTCAAGTTCGACGCTGGTGACTCGCGACTTCCTCTCCGGTTTCATCGGCGTTGTGTTACTTTTCACGCATGCTTCTTGCACAAGAGTATTCTTTGTTCGCATCCCAATGCAGCAGCTGTTATATATTGCGATTCTTTCAAGCGCCATATCGGCCTCTGTTGATTTTCCTCTAGCCAGTAACCATCTTGGTGATTCAGGTATAATCCTATTATATATCATATGAGGAGAGATTCATTTATATTTATTTAATGTGTCACATATTTCATTAATCTAACTAATTGTAATATTTTGTTGTGTTTCGTGGTACTGTGTTGCTTTCCTTTTTCTTTTCCTTTTCCTTACCAAATGTACAACACAGTGATGGCGGTGGGTACAGAAACAGCCAGCTGCAAAATTCGCCAATCGGGTATCACATAACTGAGTACTGCGAGCAGTACGAGACCGATTGACCAGGAAATCTGCATAATCAATGCAACGAGAGTACGAGATCGCGCTGGAAATAGTTCCAGAGAGAGAATATACGTAGAAATCTGCAGGCCTTGAACGAATACTCCTTGAAGACCACGTAGCGCCAAAAATGCAGGATAACTCTGAAATTGACAATTTCAGTGTTTTTTAACACATCTCCAAGTTTGAATTGTTATACACCAGGATAAGCAACCATTTTCTTTCGCTCGCCATCAAATACACAATATATCGAATCACGAATATAATTCATCGCGATGAATACAACGAATTAATAGAAAACTATTAATCAATCATAATTTTATTATGAAAAACCGAATGCGCGATAACTAATCCACTTGTTAAAAATTTGGGACAATTTAAGTAAATGCAATTTTCTCGTCCTTCTAAAAATGCATAATTGCTTGAGCTCTCAAACGTTTATCAAATGCTATCTCTAATAATGTGACGGGAGAATTTTTTACCTGTACAATGTAGAGTGCGACCGCCATCGTGCCTTGCGCGTAAAGACATATCGCTTGGACCGGAAGTCTGCCGATACGATCGGTTAGAAATCCAGAGATCCACGCACCCAGAAGAACCCCCGTATAATAAACGGTTGGCCCGAGAAAAGACAAGTATCGTTTCTCGCATACTAAACCCCATTCGGTGACTACGCTGTTCTCCGTAAACTCTGTCACGAAGCGATATTCGCCGGAACAGGATGTAAGCACTGGCATTTGCGGCGACGCAGAAGTTAAATTGACAACGATCGATGAATTCCCCGCGGTTTGACAGCCAAAGCTTTTATTCGTTGAATCTCTCGTCTATCGAATAATAGCTTCTTTATCTTATCAAATTATTATATTCTAAAGAGTGAGAAATTTTCTCTTTTCAATTAATTCCTTTTTCTTACAAGTCATGCATACTTATCGTTAGATATGAAACTAATGTAATAATCGAGAACGAAATATCAATTTTTAATCGAAACTAAATTAAAAATTTTTTTTTACATCTTATATCTTTATTTTTACGTTTATATTTAACACTCTTTAAATTAATTGAACGGCTCAAATTAACGGTCTAACGTTAGATTCCATTTATTGTATATATGTATACGCCACTGAATTAAAATAATAGAAAATTTCTGTCTTACATTATTATACGTTAAAATAATTTCTTTTCCGAGCTTCTTTCGCACTTCAACTCACCTGACAATAAAATTTTGGCGTGTAGTTATGAAAAACTGGCAACGCGTGACTCATGGCGACGATGACATAGTTTATTCCAAGTAGCAACACTAACACCATTTGAAAGCAGCCCACTTTAGCTTCCTCCGCATTCATCGTGAGCCACGATCTCTCCACACCAACCCCTGATAACCCAATGACCGAAACTCTGCCCGTCGAAAGTGCAACGCGCACCGCCGTTTCAAATCTCGTATACAATCACATTTATTTATTCCTTTGAAAATTGGATCAAGCAATTTCGAGACAGAAATTAGCCAAACATCCCCCCATTCGAGACGAATATTCATTCTACTTGTAACATATTGAAAAAAACTTGAGTATCTTTTATAACATAGTTTACATATGTCGGAGTAATAATTTCAGAACTGTTACTTAGTTGATGAACATTTGAGAGAGTAAACAGTTTAAGAAATCGTTTGTTTATATATATATAAAACGCCGTGCCGAGCGGAATGTAACGCGAGGTTGAAACAAAGTGTCATGCACGAAGGTAAAGCATGCACTGACAGAGAGAGGATCGGCCAGGAGTTGTCTCTCTTGCAGGACGCGAGGCGCGAAGGAGGAGACTCACTGAATGACGGGTGAATCAGAGGAGGACGATGGTACGGCCTATTGTTTCAATACCTAGGACGATATGTACCATTGGTACGCGGTATACGAGGTGTAAACGATCTTCTGCCAATAACGATCAATATGCCGCGGCTGACGGACCGTCACTATTGGCGTATTCATCAATTTAATCATCTCTGTCATTGTACTATTAAATTGTATCTAACGCAAAATGCGAACAGAATAGAAAGAGGGGGGGAGGTGGGAGGAAGAGAAAGGGAGACGATAACGGATTGCCGATTTTTCAATTTCCAAGCTGAGCCAGATGGAAGACATCGGATCTAATGACGCGTTCGCGATAATTGCGAATGATTGCGCGGTGAATCTCGACTTACGCGGTCAATTGAAATTGAAGATACAACGTAAAAATGAATGTATGCGCGTGCTAACAATATGAATTTCAGCACGAACCAGTTCCTCGGATGATAGTTATTCCCGTGGAATGTATATGGAATATGTGCTTTAATTTCGCGATGCACCATGTATGCAGGCACCTCTAAGCTCTTGCTCGTGATAATGTCCCAGCGACGTCTACAAACTCCACAAACGCTTTACCGTCGTTATGTATTCGCGCGTATGTCATAATTCTATCATAATAGCAGAAAGACGGATAGTTTCGCTATTGACTTTCGTTGTTTCGTCGAATTTACATTTGCTGCTATCATAATTACACATTAAATGTCCCCAATTATCTGTGCGATTATACATTTGATTTTTCACGACGTCTCTTCGGAACAGAATAATTTTGATCCGACGTCATCTCTTTTAACAATCATTTAAAAGATGAAAATAAGGCATCCTGTATAAACATTGTGAAACAGTAGCAAAAAGCGCGAGTTACAATGGTTATTTTAGCAGAAGACTCGGAAGGCGCTCCATACTTATTGTCAGCGGCATCATCTCGATCGAAACAGGGTGTAAATCATTACGCGGCGCAACGAGCGACGACTGAGGTGCTTCTGGAACTGTTTGCGTATGCCGAGCTCGTTACGTCCGGTCCCGGCCCCGGTCACATCCTGCCTTTCATCGGTGGTTTGTCGCCAAGACAGATCGACGATCGAATCTGAAAAGGAAATTCCATCTTTCTCTTTCTTCGCCATCGTCATCGTCGGTTGTCGTCTTTCGATTTTAGGCATTGATCGGACGTCACGATCGGTATCGTCATTTACGGCCAGCTTTTATTTTCATTCAAATACCGATGAATGCATAATCAATTATGCGCGCGTCTGTTGACGCAAAAATCGCGGTTCAACAATTTTTCATCATTAGAACAAATTCTTATTCGCGATAGCACGCACGCGATACTAACGTGTCACTTTTCATTATAATTATTTAGTAAGGAGAAAAGTACAATTTCTCTGTTCAATAAACTCGCGACTTCTTTATATCTTACCCTTTTTGAAATTAATGCTAATCGTTAATAACCACCGTAATAGTGAGTAGAAAAAAGAAGAAGAAACCAAAGTGAATTCATTAAAGTTATTAGAGTGTTGCTAACAATAGGCGTATCTCTCAAACTCGAATTGTAAGTGGTTTTCAGAAGTACAGATGTCTAAAATAGTTGCGAAAATGACGTTATTACTATGGGCAAAAAAATTTCGTAACACATCGCGTAATATACGGCACGAATGGATGATGCGCCAGTTAACGATCCGTGCCAGATTTCATCGGCGCTTACAATTCAGGCTAATTTCTCGTGCGTTTTCTAGCAGCGTGCAGCTTCTCGGGACCTATCGGCGCATCATTTTCCCGCATAATAGGAAGCAGGCCAGCGCGCGCACAGTACAGGGTTGATAATAATCTTATATAAGAAAAAGAATAAGTCGCGAGAATAGTAAAGGAACATATAAAAACTACTTTCGCGCCAACAATGTTGATACTTTATCGAAATTAAGTTACTTGAATGATAGCAAAATTAAATTACTAATAAATCTAGAAATTTTTTACTCTAGTTTTCATCATCATGTTCCATTTTATCTAGTTTTGTGGATCAAAGTTTCGTGTACTCCAAATCTCGCTCTATGATTATTGCATATGGTAAAAATAATGTTTTCTTCCTAGTTCTCTTTAAGCCTAATCTACAAATGTGCTCTCTGCGTCTAGAAACATTCTATTTTGTAGCTAATAAATAGGTTAAAAAAATTGGTGCAAGTTGATAAATTGTATATTATACATTGTATAATCGTACATTGTTGAGAAATTTTTGAAACCTTTTGATTTGTTTCTATAAAATAGACGCAGAAAGCACATTATAGATTAGACTTTATAGCTACATACATAGGTATATTAGGTGAGGAATATCGTCAGGTCTAGGTCTAACAAAAAAATTTGGCTAGGTTTTTGTTAAACAGTAATGCTCTTGTCAAATACTCTCGAGAGCTCGTGGACAGTGAAAAGAGTTGCCAGTAATAAGAGTATTTCTTGTAAGATTTCGCTAAACAAGCTAGCTGTTAAAATTTCGCCATGATTGCGCTGGATAATGGTATTTGCTTAGATCTAGCGTGAAAACGCGTGATGTAGCGATAAACGCGCATGTCGGACATCGCGACGCTAAGCGAAGCGAAGCGAGTCGAGCCGTAATTCGAGATTCGAGGCGCCCGATGACTAGCGTCCAACCTTATGGCGCACGACGCGCGCGAGCCGCGAAGCCGAGTCTGGCCTGGATGCCTTTTTTTTCGTGGTGTACCGTTATCGTAGAATAACTTAGGTTCTGCGATCTCGTAGTCGGTGTGTATATCGACGACGCGTCGATTTCGCTTGGCCGCTCGGGGGAGCGGGTCATCGCGTTTCGTCCATACCGCGCGCTTCTCTTCTCTTCTCTACTCTTCTTTCCTCGAGACACGGCGCGCGCCGAGTCGTGGTGGAAAAAAGGCCGCCGACTCTCGAGAGTCGAGACGGAGACTGGCCGCTCGTTCGATTTTCCTCAGTTCTATTCGGCGAACGTTGCGCGATAGGTCGTTCGTCGCGCGGATGCCTCGCTCGTATGCAAATACCGCGACGTCGTTTTCCTCGATAAGCGCCGATCGCCATCGAGCTGTCGCACAGCCGGTCGGCTCCCTCGTCGCCGGAAGTCATCGCGCGCACCAACAAGCGCACCATGAGAGCTCGAATAGTTTTGTTAGGAGTTTTGCTCGTCTGTACCAGCGTGAGTACAATTTTTCCCCCCTTTTTTTATTTCCTTTTTTTACAATTCCATTTGCCATCGTATCAGTCATATTTAATAGATAATACGTTGCCACTATCACTTGGTTCACATTATCGTGTACAATGTTTACACTCGACATGTAACGAATCTCACAAGTAAATCTACATAGTTTCAAATCAAATCGATACTGGATTTCGAGCTCATTTTATCTTCTGCTCTCTTCCTCTCTCTCTTCCCCCCCCCCTCTCTCTAGAGCTTTTCATTTGACAATATTTCAGAAATTATTTTGTAATTCATAGATTCGGTATGCAGATAGCAGATCGAAGAAAACGACGCAGCTATCGTTGCAGAGCAAAGAGACCAACGTCGTAAACTTTATGCGACTGCTGATGATGAGATTGGTCTTTGGGGTAGCTTCGGCAATGGGGCTGGGTGAAAATCTCTCGGGTGTCCTTGGTGGAATTTTTGTGCCTCCCGGAGCCGAGGAGTACAATGAGGATTACGGAGATGATGACTTAATTGTACCTGATATTTTCTGAATTAGATATTTTTCAGCCTGATCGCGCATTTTCGACGGTATTCAATGGCAACGTTGATTGCGTTTCGGAAGTTATGTCGAAATGAAAGACATGCTTTTAAATGACTTTTGCGACAAAATCGACTCGGCTTAAATTATGAGAATTACAATATTTATTAACTTTGTGTTTGAATTAACAACATTCAAGAAGTATGCATGCGTTTGTTGTGAAAAGCTTTTCTATTCTCTGATTCTCTCTACTTCATTGCTATTAATGGGATTCATGTTAATAAACTGATAAATTTCATATACGAAACATATGAAAATTGAAAAAGAGTAGATACATTGTATAGTGACGTAGCAAACTTTGTATAAGAAAGTATGGGTGAGAAAATATGGCTTGTCAATCCTGTTGCGGAAATAGAAAAAAAAAGGTCTTAGATCCTACGTCAATAATTAGATGTTAAAAAATTCACGAATCAGAGAATCTCGTTTGTAATGAAAACGCGATGACCGTATTACGATTCAGTCGTGAGTCTGTCGATCTTGCGCGAGAGGTTTTTTAAACGATTTTGTGTATACCGTTATTCGTCGTAATTTCGGTAGAGCTGATGGGTGTGCACCGATTATTACGGGCGAAGATATAAGTAGGAAATGGTTTGTTTCCGCTTTCCGTTTATCTCGTATCAAGTGAATGTAACTATCCATTCCGTCGGTTCTGGTCCAGTGAAATTAGCATCTGCTAATCACGATCAAAGTCTTCATATAAATAATACATTTGATCGTTATCTTTCGAAAGTGTTGTAAAACCAGTCTCCGATAAAATTCACTATTGATAAAATATTTTATTTCGTCGCTCATTGAAATGGATTGGAATCTAGAACTTTACACCATACTTTCGAAATAATCAGCTCAAACGTGAAACAAAAGTAAATGGAGTGACGGTTTCTGTAATTACTGTGAAAGCTTGTAATTATGAAGAACATTCATTCTGTATACTGATAAACGAGACAGAAAGCGCAACGTTTATTATTGTTAACAAAGAATTGGAATTTATTTATTTTATCATTAACGAATAATTTTAGTTTAGCTCAACAAAAGTCCTTTTCGACATACAAGTACTTTTTACGTTATTTTAGTCCCAATAGTTGACAAATTTAATTAGGATTTATATGTATCAATGATTTGATATTACATAAAACGTACTTGATATCGTTGATTTTTCTGTTCGTTAAAAAGACGGAAAATTTTATGTTAACCAAACTACATTATTACATAGTTTTAATATCTTGTCTGTATAATGGCGTAACAGATGTAAATTACTTATATTACGTTTTTCTTTACATGATTAAATACTGATAATAAAATTTTTATTTATTTTTCGTATTATCGTTTTATACAATGTGCCAATATTCGATTCGTAAAGTAGATCGTCTACAACGCTTATAGCTGGTCGAGAAAATCGGTATACAACGAACTTACGACCGAGAGAAAAGGAAAATGTATTATGGCTCGACACATTTTTTCCTCGCAAAGACCTCGAGAATTTCAATGCAAGTGGTACTGTTTAATCACGTACAAGTCCCACTAACGGTTCAGCGTAGTGTGTGCTAATTACATAGTAAACCAATGTCTGCCGAATAGGAATCATTGACGTATCCGCGTAACAGTTAACATTTCGTATATCACATGGCGTACTCTGATTGCTGATTTCAGTTAATTCGCATTTATTTATAAATATTCATTAAAAAAATTTTACAATGTTATTTATAAGTGATGCTTAAATGTTATCGTTATCACTGGTAGAATCAGTATTAGGATCTTCATCAAGATCTCGATAACAACCGTTCTTTTTTCTTATAAGATCTCCCCAGAGGATATTAAACTTGCACACAGGGCAAGTACCTTCGATCGGTAGAATCATCTTTCCATCTTTACAAAATTCTTTCGCTAAACAGATTAAGTGGACAATTAAAGAGCATTTTGGTTTTACACAAGTGACAGAATCTTTCTCCATCATACTAGAGCCGCAAAGAGAACAGAACATTGATGCTTCTTGTGACAGAATGTTATCTTCTTTTGTTCCCTGTATTGGCTTAACTTTACAACTGGTAACTTTGCCATAGCATATAGGCATGTGTAATGGTGGGGATATGCACCCGTAATAATTCTTGGAAAATTCATAATCCAACCATCGTACTGTCAAAGGTAAGCGGCACCAAGGCCCAATCTTCAACATCTCCGTCAAGACAGTTAAACGGAAATCAAACATCTTCTGCGACGACCTCTTCTTGGGAATGTGCTTCAATCGCCTACTCATATGTGGATGTTGCCAAGCCCATTCGAACTAGTACAATGAAATGTTTAGTTATTAAAGATAAATAATGTTCCGACGAATGTCACAATTTGCTTTTCTTCAGAGAAAATGGAAACTTACTCTAAGTGCACAAGTGCTGTTAGGAAATCCATGGATGATCAAGACCATGTTCCTAAATATGATAATTATTGCAATTTCACAAGTATATGTGTATGTATAAAGTATCTATTTCATTTCATTTATTCATATATGTAACTGTATAAATGAGAAGACTAGAATGTTTATTTACCATGGCCCTTTCTTACTAGTTTTCCAAGCTCCACCATGCTTCTTACCAGCATTATGCTGTTTAATCCTGCGTCTTGGGTCTACAGTGTAACCGACATAAGTTCTTCCCTTGTACTTTGGATTCACGCAGTATAATAAATATACACCAAAAAAGCGTTCTATCACCTCAGGCTCTTCTTCCATTCTTAAGCATTGCAAATTTTCATAACACGTAGAATTACAATTATGTGAAATGTATTTCAGAACATTCACCAGATCTGCATTTATTTCTACCTAATTATATTTAATTTTTGTTTCTACTAAATTCGACTGTACATATATAAACAAGTCAATATTTGTTCAAATTTGTTCTTATCAATTATATCTTACACTTTTAAGGCCAATTATTTCAAGTATCAGCTGGTAAAAAAGCCGAAGAAATTATTATTATATATTTGTTATACTTTTTCATACAATTTTAATAAGAATGAGAATGTTAGGTATATACATATTAATTCTCCTAATCTTTTTACGCTTGTGTAAGTAGAATTAACAAAACACCTTTAAACACACAAAGCGTGGTATTTTTACAAGATGGAAATTCGTACGTCGGGAATATATTATTACTTCCTAAGTAATGATAGCAATTTCGAATACATAATTTCTGTTGCTCCAGAAATTGTAGGTTAAGTTGCTTCGCAAACACGCGTCCGACGATAGACGGATAGACGAGTTGCTCAAGCTGCTGTATCAATGAACCCTCTATACTACGGTTACTACGTTACTATACTTGAATGCCTAGTCAGGTGTTCTTTGTTCTGTAGTACCGTGGACGCTAGGAATACCTAGACGTTTGAAATTCCGTGAATTTTAAACTTTAAATTGCGAAAATCTCGAAAACAAGCAAAGTATTCAAAGAGGTGGAGTCTATCTAAATTTTCAAAATTTCCAAGAATTGCAATTCCGAGAATTTCAAACTTCTAATCACGAAAATTAAAAATCTTGGAAACTGACAAAGTATCAGGAGAACATGATCGGCAAAGAGGTCGCACTATTTAAAATTTCAAAAATTTTCCAGCATTTCCAAGAATTTTTAAAAAATTCTAATAATTAAAATTTCGAGAACTTGAAACATCAAATCGCGAAAATTGGGAATCTCGAAAACTGCCAAAGTATCGAGCACAAGAATTTCGGCGATTGATAAACCTCAATAATCGACGAAATTTTTATACAATATACGTACATACGTATGTTAGAAAATGTTTATAGTTAAAAATTTCAGAGGAAAGTTTCAAAGTAAATCATGTACAATCTCCTTTTTGCCCTCCACAGTTGTATTTGGTGACC